TGGTGGTGTAGGACTCAGAGTCTGCTATTTGGTGCTACTAGGAATGAAATCAAGAGATTCAAATCGCTTACACAGAATAAGAATATAAGCATGAAGAGGGTGGGAAGAGCAGCAAATGCTTTGGCTGATTGTTTAGCCAAGCAAAGGGGTAAATAGGGAGCATTTGTTCTTGGCTCAATTGTAACTTGGTTTATTTTTTAACTTATGTTATTGGAGAGGATGCTGCTGCACCTCTCTTCGGGATACTTGTATTGCTTTGATCTATTGAATTAATAAATTCTACATTGATCCAAAAAAAATGTTGCATGTCAATAAACATGGTATGGATCATATGGATCAAATGTAATGAAGGTAACAGTTCAAATAATTTGTCATTTAAAAACAAGTTGCGATTTTGGATTGGAATGATGGAACAGTATCTTACATTGGGTAAGTCAGATGAATAATCTATTTGGGTCATGAGGGTTGCAGCAATATTGGCTGGCCACATGTGGTATACTGGTTGGCTCTATGCTTATAAGAAACATGTTGGATGCAATAAGACTTTTCAATGATCAATCATGTGCAGAAAATATAAAGAATATATTCATTTGGTGAAGTAAAATAATAGAAGAAATATGTATAAAAAACAAAAATTTATTCTTGAAAGGGATAGTCAGCTTCATGTCACAGACCTAGACTCCTCTAGCGTCTCGTGCGGCACTTGGGCAGCAGTCCGTCGCTCCACAAGTCAGCCTTCCCTACTTAGAGCACTCTCCTGGTTCTTGAGACCAAGTAGCCTACCAACTCGTCCCTCACAATAAGGCACACACTTAGGCAACAAAAGCACAAAGCACACAAGGAAAGAGAGATGGAGAACTCAAATGAACTCTTTGTATTACTCAAGAGAGGAATACAACACTTGTTTGCTTGGTTGCTTAATGCAAATGAGGGAGGGGGTCCCCTTTTATAAGCACCTCCACCTCCTTAAGGGATTTCTCTAGAATATGAATGTTCTGGACTTGCTTCTAGACTTCTCCTTCTTCTAGACTTATCTCAGTTCCCTTAGATACATGAATGCTCTAGAATAGGTCTAAAAGTATGTACAAAGTTCAAGGGTGTTCATGAGGCTTCTAGAGTGCTTCCAGAATCTCCTTGAACTCTCTTGAAGTGTCTTGGGGCTTCTAAAACTTCTAGAGTGTTCCTGAAACCTCTTCCATCAGCCCTCTCCACAGTAAGGTCGAGTCAATCTTGTCATCTCGTGACATTCAGCTCTCAACTTGAACCAAAACACTACCTCAAACTCTCCTAGATGTTGGATGATCTTATCACTATTAGAGTTGCCCAAATTCATACCATAGAGGGGTTCAAAGATTAATTTGTTGATGATGTGGTGAGAAGGTGATCTTGTGTGGCTTCTTCATCAACTGAAAGACATTTTTGTGCTCCTCCCTTTGCAGGAATAGCCAAGTTAACTAATTGCTTTTTGTCTAGGGAATTCAAGACAGTTAGGGGTTCAAGTGGTGCTTGGAGACTATGAGGGAGAGAATTACTGGTTTATTCTGGCACCTTGGTTATCTGGGTACTCTATCAGAACAGAGATTATTTCTTGCTTCAGGGTCTGATATTGATGTTTTCTTTGTCTTCTCGTAAGTGGAGGTAAAGGGGGGTAGGTAGTTATAGGATGGATGAAAGATGGTTATGATGGCACTAGCAGAACATCACAACAAGGAGGGCAGCTGCTTTGAATCCAAAGACCATCCAACTTGTTGGCTGCTTGGTTTTAGGTAGAGTTGATACAAGTGAGCTATATTAGGGTTCAGCCCTCCCGAGTTAGTATTTGGTTAGTTACTTGGTTTGTTGTTTGGACCTCAGGGTCTTGACCATTATGTCTTGAAGGTCTAGACTTGTTCTTGTACTTTCATTCCTTTTAGTTATTGTAGGGGAGGTGTTTATTTATTGGATTGTTTGTTGTTCTCTTTTGGGTTAGGGAAAATTCTTATTCTCTAGTTTCTATTTGAAGCATTACTGTTTTCTTTGTTGGCTATGATACTCTGGGCTATGATAATGTGAGACAGGGCATTGTGCAAACTTTCAGCAAGCTAGGAACCAGATTGAAAACTGTGAACCTCTCTCATTATTTGCTTCTATGATGTGCAAGCCATCACACTCATTCTTCTTTTTGTAATCCTCGAGAAAAGAGATGCTTTTTTTGAAATGCAAGTCATGTCTGTCTCCATAGACCATTGTGTCTGGAAGTTTGGTTTAGAAAAGGAAGTGATTTACCAAACCAAAAAGACTGACCCATGTATCTTAGTTGAATGATGGTGCATGTAGCAACTCTAGACTGAATCTCAATTGTCATAATATTCTATTGTCATGTCTTAACAATTCATGAAACTCCATCGAATTTTGTTAAGTCCTTAATTTTGTTGGACTGTGAGAAGGTTATTAAGGTATTCCCAATCACAGCAAAAAAAGGGGCTTTCTTTCTAGCTTGATCTTTTAAGCCTAGTCGGTCCTATGGGTGGGCTGAAAAATTTAGGGAAAAAAGGGGCTTAATGAACAAGTCCCCAAGTTAATTGGGCCTTATTTATAATGCAGTAAGCATTTAACGGGCCTGTAGTAGAGCCCATTTAGGTGGTGTTCAGAACCATGGTCATCTCATGGATGGCATGTTGCGGTCCACACCACGAGATGTCCATGGCGTTCAGTTGGCTGTGGACGGGACTGGTCCACAATACATCGTGGATTGTCCTCGTCCACAACCTAAAACCTCGGCCAGACATATATCTTGTGGATGTGGCTGGTCCACAACATTTCCACACTCTATTTTGATACAATACATCTCTTCTACATACATTTCTTTCTTTTTAATTTTTTAATTTTATCACAAGCCCGGTGGTAATCCTTTTCCACTCTTTTTTCATTTATTTAAATATTAATTTTCTTAATGCACTGTATTCATGTCCGATAGGTGATGGAGACTCTTTGAGAGCAGAGATTATGGCCTTGCTACAAGGTCTAAGACTGGCTAAACAATGGGGCTTACACCAGATTGAGGTAGAAGGGGACTCTAAACTATTAATTGGGTGGTTGCAGTCACATAACTTGGGGGCCTGGGTACATCAACAATTCATGAGGGAAATAAACTGCTTAGCAAGAGAGGTTGGGGCATTGTTCAAGTGGACAAGGAGGTCAGCAAATGGACTAGCCGACACCCTTGCAAAGCAAGGAACTTTCAAGGAAAACTTGTTTTGGGCTATTCTGTAATCAAAAATTACTTTTCTTGGGGTAAACACCCTTAACTGGGTGGTGACAATGTATTCTCTTAATATGTCTAATGAAAGTTACCATTTCTGATAAAAAACAATAATATTTTTAAATATTTAAAATATTTTTTATTTTTAAATTATTTTACTATTGTTTTTATTAAAATTAATATTTATTGGTTAATTTTAATTTTTGATGCCTTTTTCAATATTTTTATTATATAAAATGCAAACATTAGACATTTATGATTGACTGTGTAGGTCATTCATAAAATGTATATGAGATACATGGAATCAAAAAGTGTGGTGTGGACCAGTCCACACTCACCAATTTCTCATCTACACTACAGAACACACCCTTAATGGGACAACAGGCCCTAAAAGAACTAAATTTATATTAATTAATAATCTTGTGAGGTGTCCCACTATATTTATAAAGGGGATGCCACTTGCTCTATCCTAACAAGAGGGCTATTTTCCCTCCTTTAGCCACTTGAAGTGGAGTGACACGTGTCACCCTAGGAAGAGAAGACTTTTTCCCTCCTCTAGCCACTTTAAGTGGGGTGGCACATCTCACCCTGGGAAGATGGAGTTATTTTCCCTCCTTTAACCACTTTAAGTGGGGTAACACATGTCACCCTAGGAAGAAAGTTTTCTTTTCCCTCATTAACCCATTTTAAGTGAGGTGACACTTGGCACCCTAAGAAGATAGGGGTGTGGAGTTACCTAACCACCTCCCTCCTCTATATTAACCCCTCTCCTTGTAGGAGAGAGGGCTAATGACATTTTTTTAGCTAATGCTATTTTGTTGATAGAATTTCCAGCAATAAAAGACAAACAAGAGGAGAAAGAGGGGAAGATTGTGGTGTGAAGAAAAAGAAGAGAAGGAGAAAGAGGAAGTTAGGGATTGAAGTGTTTCCTCCACCTCTTCACTATGATACTCCTGCAACTTCCTTCATGAGAACTATGTCTTTACTTCTATTTCTTTCACCCTTTCTTTCTTTATTGTTATTTTTTCTCTTTCTCTCCTTGTCTCACATTTAATCATATGTGAGGGAGACAACCATCTATAGCCTTGTTCATGAAACTTGGCTGATTATAGTTCATCACACTATATTCACCTATAAAACTATTACTTTATGTGAAAAACAAACCATCTACAGCCTTGTTCATGAAACTTGGCCAATTATGGTTGCCTCTAAAGCTTAGTTAAAAAAAAAAAAGAAACTTGGCTGATTATAGTTCCCCACACCATGATAATGCACATAACCACTATTTAAAGGCCAACCTTATTTATGAAATATGGTGACTTATGATCCCTATTTGCATGTCATGCATTAAAAAATAAGTTTATTTATTTATATATGTTGGTTTTCTATCAAATGAAGAGGGAATATATAACAGAGTTTTCAAAGGAAAACTCTCTAGGAAAGTTCTACTTAGTTTAGTCTGTTCATTTGTACTAATTCAAAATCAAGAGGTTTTCTTTGCCCCTAGTAGAGATGTAATTAAGGGAACATCTACATGATTTCCTGAATGGGACTTACCCAAATATCAAAAAGCCCAGTTATTAGTCTAATTGAGTGAACTATGTTATGTGAGAAATTATATTACAATTTTTTCACTAACAAATTTATGCTATACACATTCTGTTTTTTATTCTCATCCTTAGGCTAATACAGACAGGTCCTGTTGTAATTTAATGGTTCTGTTTGATAATCACCTAACTGTCTTATATGTAATATGAAGGAACTATCTGAAGTTAAAAGGAAAAATGCAGCCCTTCAAATGCAACAGTTTGTTGGGGAAGAGAAGAATGACTTATTGGACTACCTGAGATCTCTGCAACCAGAAAAGGTAATCTTTCTGACATTTTTTATCTTCAACTTTTTGTAGCTGGTATTACAACTAATATTTTTCTTACAAGTTGCTTTAGTAGCTTATATGATATCGCAGTTTACAGAGTTAGATACCTTCACTTTGTGATTATTGTTTCTGCATCTTAATTGTCGCATCCATATGGTATTGTTGCTAAAACAGAAGAGTGAGAGAAAGAGAAATAGGTTGAAGGATGGACCAAAAGATTTATGAAATTGAGGCTGACTGAAGAGCACTGACTAAATTATGTAGGACCAACTGCTCTGACACCAAATTGACATTGGACTAGTAACCCAAGGATGAGTCTAAGGGGTAATCATTGGCTAAGAGAGGGTTATAGGGATGATATTAGGACTAAAGGTAAGGATTCAAAGGGGTTAGAAAGACTTTGGGTTAAAATTCTGAGAAATATAGCTTATTTTTGGGACCACAGAAAAAAAATGTAAGAACTGATGAAGGGATGGAATAGTTAAGGAAATTTACAAGGAGTGGTTTAATTTGAAGGCATCTTAATCAGACTTTTCACAACAAGAAAAAAGTTCCTTCATAAGAGAAATTGCCAAATTTCCATGAATGAGAATTTTGGTTAGAATTTTTGGATGGAATGGAAGGTGATTGAAACTTGTGTGGGGTGACATAATTTGAGGGCATTTGAAGGTGGTTTGGCACAAAAGGATGAAAATTTCTTAAATGGGAAAAATTAGGGTTTTGATATAAATATGAGAGAAAAAATAATTTGGATCATTTTTAATCCTTTAGAGATGTCAAATAATCTCTTTTAATGAAGATTTGGTTTGCTGTTGATGGTTGTAGTTTCTGCTTACAAAATTATAAAGAAGATAGAGAGAGAAAGCTTGAAATCACTCAATTGGCACCTAGAATCACTCGCCATACGCACAATAGGCAAAAAATAAATAAATAGTCCAATATCATTCAGATATTCACCATATTGGTCAATCATACTAGAACTAGACTAAAATTTTAAGCACATCAAACTCTTAGGCTAAACCCTATCCCTCAGATGTAAAATGACGAGCACACCCTTATTGTCCAAAAATACAAGAGCCCTGATCAATCTCCTCCTTAACTTTACTAGTGCCAGATTAGCAAGGTGAGATGTGGTTGGTTGGTGGAAAGGTGATTCATTTGTGCAAGGCTTTTATCACTTTTTGCCTGGAAAAGGTTTAATGGTTAGGTTGTTTGATGCGGCTTCTACTCTCCACTTGCAAGGTGTTTAGAGGTGGCCCCTATTTTCCACTCTTTTGAATTTCACATTAAGGGCAGTTAAGGTTGTCCTTATTTCTGGCCTCTAAAATGATTCCACAGGAAGGGTGCGCATGATAGCTGCTGATCTCCTCCAATATGGAATTTTAGAGCTCAGGTGGCTGTGGCTGCTCCCATTTCCACCTCCAATAAGTTTTGAGGTAAGGGAATGTGAGGAAACTTGTGATTTTCTTCTTGACAAATATTGGGATGATGACACCTGTTCTCCCATGGCTTTTGCAATCAGCCAATAAAACTGTGGTGAAAGTGCTTGTCCATGTTACTGTCACTTTATGATTTTCTAGAGCTCTGAGTTGGTTGTGGCATCCTGGCTCCAAGAACTGTTATCAATGCTACTTTCTTTTTTTTCTCCACCTCTTTTCTTGGCAGGTAAAAGGGTTAATCATTATCCATTGGTAGTTGGTAGGTGAAGATGGGTTTTGAAACTAGGTCTATAGTGTAGACACTCAAAGACTTCTCTAACTCATCAAGTTGGAATCTTGACATTGGAAGGATGATTTTCTAAATCTGCTGGACCCTATTCTTTTGTGGTCAGACTCTTAATAAGTTGACTATACGACTTTGGCACAATAACTCCCTGATAAGGAGGGGTTTTTTTCATGCTGGTAACATGTCTTAAAGTTTTCTAATTAGCAAGTCTTAATCATGTTTTTCAACTTCCTTTATCAAAAGAGAGCTCACAGTATTTTTATAGTTCATATAGTCGTCAGTTTTTCCAGGGATTGTACTAATGGTGGAGGAAACATGTTCTGTCAATTTGTACTTTCGTATGTTTTGGTGCATTTATATGCATGGAATCCATTGATGGAAATATTACGCTTGCTTGATCCCAGCCTACAGGTATAGGGGCATGTCTTTTTTTCATTTAATTTTTACATTTTCTATGATTTTTTTCTATTTTAAACACTTTTTCTAATAAGAATTATATAGGCAAAAAAGACGAAAAAAAAGGAGTTTGTATGAACATATCCAGTAAGTTTTTTTTTTAATGATAGCTTGTCATCTTATTAATATGTGAGAAAGAACAATAGATATGTACAGTGTAATTGGTACAAGCAGTACCCAACACACTCCTACATCCTTTTATGTTCTTCCAACATCATAACCGTTTGTTTGACCCTTCTCTACATTACATCATTCCATTTTCCGTCCAACCATCCCTTTTATCTGTGGCTCCCATTGGTACAATCTGTGGCTCTCTGTTGGTGCCCTGTTTTGCTAGAATATAAGACATACCATTTGCTGATCTTCATACTCAGACAAAGGTGGTGTTCAGATCCCTTTCTGCGTTCCTTGCTTCCCTTACAATATTTATGTTTGTGGAACTGGATGGTTCTGTTTCAGTCCAGCCATGCCATTATTAGCCTTCAGTCACCTTCCACCATAAGGCCTTTATATTCAAGTGACCTCCTTAACTTTAAACCTTGAAGTACTGCCAATATCTCAGGCCTTTTTTTTTTTTGATGAATCCAATATTTCAGGCTATTGAGTTATTTTGTTTGATTGGTTCTGAAAGATAGCCCTCACCTCTCCCTCAGGGTCCTGAAAAGGTAGTCTTTATTTCCGGAAACTGTTTTTCAAAGGGGAGTGACTACCCTGTACCTAAAACAGGAAAGCAACTCTCCCATTTATATATTAGATGAGTAGTGAGGTTAGACCCAGCAGAAAATTTACCCAGAAAATATTCCAATTCGAGAGCTGAGATCTCTGTCCCTAGAAACCTCATAAAAGCTCCAACAACTGGCATACTTTACCTATTTACCCGTCATAAACTGGCCCAAAAGCCTGCAGACTTTACATTTACTTCTTCGCTTATTAGATCTTGAACGATTAGGATGTGGATTCTCTTCTCATACTCTTTTCTTACAAGTACCACCCTGGTAGATTGTTCAGAAAGCAGGCTTTTGATATCATCTTTTCCTTGGTTTTTAGTTGAGTCCATTTGGAGAAATGCCTAAACCTTCCAAAGTGGCTTGAGATGGTTCCAACAACTGGCCAACCAATAAATAGACAAAAAAAACACTCACTAATTAGGGCCGTTCATCAAATTGATGAAGCCGGCTAAACCAACCAGTTCGACCCAAACTGATCCGAGTTGGTTGGTTTTCTAGTATTTTCAGTCAGCTTTGGTTCAGCCATTATGCTAACCCAAGAGGCCAGGTCGGTTTTGGTTTGGCCGTTTGTAAACCGACCCGACCATATATATATATATTTAAATTTATTTATTTTTAATATGAGAAAGTGGGAAGATTCCTATACTTCCTAGTTTAAAATATTTTATATTGTAAATTTAAACTTTTTAATTTAATTTTTAATAATACCGCTGCAATTTTTAAATTTAATCTTTTGAACCGACTGGCCAAACTGAAAACCAACCCAAACGATACAACCCAAGTTGGCTTGTTTTCACTAATGGTTGGTCGGTTTCGGGTGACCAACTCCCCAACCCAATCAGGTCAGTTTGGTTGGCCAAACAACCTACAAAGGAAACAACGAACAGACCCATGAACACCCCTATCACTAATTTTGTCCTTGCAAATTTGATTTTGATTTGTCGAACCACCGAATTCTTCATTAGTAATTATCAGGAGAGGTTTGATACAAAATCTCCTTGGTGTTTATTGGGCGAATTAGAAGTAATGCCCCAAAAAGCTTTTTTTTTCTTTTTTGAACTTTTTGGTTACATGGAAGGGGTTTAAAATTTAAACTAAAGTGTACTCCACAAATAGAGAGTAGTTAGATGCACATGGAGAGTCCTTTGGTTTTCAACAACAGAGCCAGGTGGAAGATCCCTGTGTCATTTGAAGTTTGTAATCCCTGACTAGCAGATCTATCCCCTATGAGTGGTTCTTTACTTCTGTTTCTATGAACAGGTGGCTGAGCTGTCAGAACCAGCATCCCCTGAATTGCAAGAAACCATTCATAGTGTCGTACATGGGCTCCTTGCAACCCTTTCTCCTAGGATGCATTCTAAGACTTCTCTCTCTGATAACACATCAACTAGAATCATGAACATTGCAGCAGAAGAAGATTGTACTGAACTTGTTGAGAACACTTCCATCCAATTCCAGCCCATCATTTCAGTCACTCGGGATTACCTTGCTCGCCTGCTTTTCTGGTATGTCCATCTTCTTCATTCTATACTTCTCATGCTTTTAATTAGGTTGGTGGATTCTTAACTCATTACTAATCTAATGCTTTATTGGTCTTAAGGTGCATGCTACTAGGACACTACCTCAGAGGTCTTGAGTACCGGTTGGAGCTGATGGAACTGCTGACCTTGTCTAGTGATGTGGAATCCAATGATGCTTCAAATGGTGAGCTAGTTGCTTAGGAGTTCTTATTCTTGTTGGCATGAAGAAAATCAATGTACAGGAACAGCTACGTTGAGGTCTCTTGGCAATTTTGGATTATGATTTATGGGAATTCATGGTTCCTCCTAAGATACTGAGGCAGGTTTTTTAAGACCTGTGTCACAATAATCCATAGCTGAGGTTCCCAAGTTCCTTTGCGAGTAAAGCTTGAAATGTAGGCCTAAGAAATGCTGTTTTTTATAGCTTCATCATGTAATTTTTGTTTATGCATGCAACTAGCTTCTAGATGTTTAAAAAGAATGCATTGCAATTGCAACCAGGAAAAAAAAGAAATAACAATTGTTTCTCTGAACAAATTGTAAATTTGTATGAGGAAAAAAAAAGTAGAATATTCAGAATCTCAAATGAGAGCCGAAGTTTTTATGTAAAAAAAAAAAGGTGGCTTAAAATCTCAAATTTTTAATATCTAAAACTGGTACATACTCCATAGAGTGAGACAGTCATGTAGGTTTGGTTCAAAATTCCGTTACGTTGATAATTGGTACGCGAAATGAAGGTATAACAATCAATCATGATTCAATATGCAAGAAAGAGAGTGCTGGAATCCGCAATCCAGTCATTGGGTTGATTGGGTCAATGGTGTAATTGTTCGGGTTGGATTTTTTTTACCAAGTTAATGTGTTTTGACTCTTCTCCAGATTTTACTTAAATTGAACCTGAAATCTTGACTGAGTGATGGTTCAAATGGTTCAACCGGTTAGATAAACAGTGAATTGAAAACACTGCTCGAACCAATTCAAATGTAAAAGCTTTGGGTCAATCCTTTCGCCAGCAATAGAATCTTTCCATTTCATATGTATGGTTTCTTAGGAAGCACTCATGTACCTTTATTGCTTGCTCAATCTGTTTCACCGAGGGAGGTGTTCCCTTTACCAGTTACCAGCGGCTTTGGTGGGAAGATGTTTCCTATAAAAGAGCTAATCGGAAACACGGACGTTGTAGGAAGAAAGAGTTGAAACTTGAAAATTGAAATTCCATCTCCATTTTCAAGTCTTTGTATGACTACGCAAATTACGGTACATTAATGGACTTGTCTTTGTCTCCTCTTTAACTGTAGAAAGTGTAGATACGTCCCCAAAGTAAAAGACGGGAGTGGGAGTGGGAGTGGACAAAGAAACATGGAAACTAACACGGATTGGCCTACAAAATTGCACGGGCTCCCACTGGGTACTGGTCAAGTGACTAAGCTCCGCCCAAAACCCAGCAGTTGGTCATGACTTTTTGTCACGACTCACGACTAGTTTAGCTGGGGTTTTTATTGTTCAGTCCATCTTTACAAAGTTACAAACCTTAACTCCACCGTATAAATAGGATAAATCCTGACTATGACTATGGATCGATGCTAAATTTACAAGCAAGATATGGTTTATTATTGGGAGTAGTAATAGACTAAGAGAAGGTTGTAATTCAAAATTCTGAGGTGGAGTGCAGTCTATTTATCCCAGATGGTCATGGTCAAATATACTAAACTTGAAACTATTCTGATAAAAGTCCTAAACAGATTTTGTTGGTTGAGGGTTTGAGGCGTTGGGGCGGGTGTCGGTCTCGTCCTAAACCTTTGAAACGAGAGAACAGGGGAGGATGTTTCAGTCAAACTTTCTGTAGCCGCGAGAACGTGCCTTGTGTCTTATTAATTAATATTTCAGAACGTGAACATTTTGATTTGGGGAATGTTGCAAACTTTTCAACCTTAAAAACTGAAAGAGTTCAACGTACATTTTCAAAAAGAAAAAAAAAAGAAAGAGTTCAAAGTACTCACGTACTACGATCAAATTTTGTATCGATATGCGAGCAAACTCTAACACAAAACCATGCAGCTCTGTCATCTCCATGTCATCACTGTGAACTTGATCGCATAATAATGTCAGGTCATTAACAATAAAATCAAAACGAAGCAAACCGCTGCTAATTAAGCGTGCCCTTAACTCTTTTCTTCATCCTAATTGTTCTCTCCTACTTTCTTCTTCTTCTTCAATCAACCGGCTCAATAGGCCAAAATGTGATAAAAGATTGCAGTGCAATCAGATCAATGCATTCAACAAACTGGGCAAAGAAGAGGCGTAGGGAAATATGGTTGCAATCTTATTAGTTATATATTCAAGAACCAAAAACGAAATTCCGCCCTTCAAACTAGGTGGAAGTCACCTAAACCCTCCCATAAAGATGAGATTTTTTACCTTCAATAAACCCTAAAACACCTACACGCTTAGTTTCCAATGAATACAAATACAAATATATAGAGTGCAAAATTTTATATTATTTTATATATCTTTACATTTATACTCTTTTTAAATTTTGAAAATGATATAAATACAAATTTAAAAGTGCAAAATTTTGTATTTTATACGTATTTGACTATTTATATAGCCAAAGGAATTGATGAACATCATTCTTGATACGGCCAAATCTATAAGAATCAATTGGTATCCGATACATAGGCATCCACCCTGGCTCCATTAAGCACGATAACTCAAAGGAGAGGGCATTAGGTCAAGAAGGACAAGTGGCAGCCACAGGAGCACCACCTGGTGATGTCATGGCCTCAAGTGGCCAATAACGAACGACCTAGAGCGGGGCCCAGCATTGTACGACATACGTAAGAGGTAAGATGTGCCTGCCAACATATTATAAAACAAGTATTCCGAGATTTCGAACACGTGTTGCAGACTAACCAATCAAGTTTAGTCTCGAGAGGTGAGTCAGTCACTTTGCCTATATAATGGTAGGCAATAGGCAATTACTCATTTACCCGCCACATTAAATAGAATCACTTACCTTGCATACCTGGTAGTGGTAGGCTGGTACTCATTTCCTTTTTTCTCTTGGGACTCATCGAACTTTGACTGTTAGACTCCTCACCCCGGGGCCTTCCGATCTCAAAGTTCTTAATTACAATAACTTTTGGAATTCAAGACATCCATTTCATCAACAAAATGACAAATAAAAATTTGAGGACAAACACATTAGAAAATTTATACTGAATTTGATTCAGAAAAAGGTAAAAAATAAAAACATAATTAAAAATCCTTAAAGGTTGTGTTTGGTTTGATATAGGAAGTAACAATAGAACCATAAAATCGGAGGTAAAGTTCTTAAGAACTTTCTGTTTATCTATTAATTATTTTCCTATCAAAAGTGATGGCAATCAAAGTCACCAAGTAAGGAATGTGAGGTCTACGGGGCTCCTCGAACAAGGATTCAATCCAAATACAAGAAAAAGGTAGGTCAGAAAGCTCGGGGCTTGGAACTCTGACGTTTAAGTCATTAGAATGGTTAAGTTTTGTTTTTTTTTTTTTTTGAAAAAATTAGGACGGTTGAGTTATACAAGGTAAATTAAGAGAAATAAATTCAATATAACCATTAAAATTTGAAATTTACCTTTATATAGGACGGCTACTCATGTCAACCAATGCGTGGGGATAATCCAATGTAACTTTTCTTCTCTAGTCTTTACCGTCTCTAAAACTTAGCGGCAGTCAAGTATCTATTTTTCTCTTTTTTTACTTTTTAATTTGAAAAAAAAAATATGAAAACAGTCCGTTTAAATGACTTACACATGTGACCTGAGATGCCATACAATTCTGATGTGTCCCAATTTAATTCACATGCAACCAAGGAAATCCGAACTCCAAAGTATCACCCTAGGCTCTCTCACAGTCTCACCAACCTTTTCCTTATAGGCTCTCACCTCGTATTTGGACTGAGCCTTTGTCCGAGGAGCCCAATACACCTCACCTTCCGTATTAGGTGCCCTTGATTAGGATTGTTCACCCAATTGGGTCGGTTTATTGACATTTTTCTAATCGATTCGTTCTGATCGAGTTACTTGAAATTGAAATCGAAATCGATTATGTATTAAGCAAAATTGACCTAGTCGGTTTTAGTCGGGTTGGGTTGGTTTCGGTTCTAAGTTCAACCATGGTAATAAATTGGTAGATTGGGCATCAGAGAAGTAGCTAGCAATATCATCCAGCAAGGAAAGCACATAAATTAAGAGAAAACAGGCCAATAACTTTGTGAAGCAGGAGCACCCCTTAATCAAGTTATCAAGAAAATACAAAATCAAACTGTATTAGAGAAAAAAGACTAAAATTTGTATATTTTAAGAAATCTTTTAATCTAAGTAAAAAATGACACCTAATTCTAATTGTAATTGGTTACCTATTTGGTATAAGAGACCATAGAAACTAGGATCATTTTATTCTTTTCTTTAAACTTTTCCAAAAAAAATCCTTGTCTAGTTGTCTTACCATACTTGCCATTAATGTCATTTATAAATAGAAAACTAGAAATTAAGTTAGGTTGTAACTAGGATAGAGGCAACTTAGTTAAGTAGGAACTAAGTAGGTTGTAACTATTAATTAGGAACTAACTACTAACTACTAAGTTGATTCGTTTCAAGTCGGTTTATGATTTTTTACAACCCAAAACCGACCGGTGCTGAAAAAAATCCGACCGATTTAAGTTGGGTCAGTCCGGATTGATCGATTTGATCGGGTTGGTTCTTCTTATGAACAGCCCTACCCTTGATCGTCATCAGAAACCGAAACCTAACGAAAAAATGAAAGAGGAATAACTTTGCTTAATCTTGGCCCACGTAATTGGTTCATTACCAGAAGAAGACCATGTCTTTTTAGCTTTTTTTTTGGCTTTGTTTACTTATATGGAAATTAAATAAAATAGGTCAAAGAAAAGTATTTTATTTCATCCTCTCTCCTATGCTTTTTTTTAACCAAGCTCAGAAAAATCACTTTAGTCTAGATTAACCAATACTTTGAAGATAAACATGGACAAGCATGGCTATTAGTCATCACTCATCACTGCTTAAGTCCTTATTGAAGAGTCAATATATTAACTATTATAAATTTAAAGAAAAAAAAAAGTTTAGAGCAAAATCCTGGAAGCTTAAAGAATCTTGCAACCTGTACTTTTCAAAGCTATTTATGATACAGAGGAATGATCATGTTACCTTCAGCACAGCACATGACAATAAGCTCATGTAACTATTTTTGTGCAATCACTAATTCATCCAACGAAGGTTGAATGAGAGAATTAAGAAACGAAGTTGGCAGTGGTCAATCACAGACGAGATGGGGGTAAGTATATTGTTATTAGTGCTTTGAGTTAATTAGTTCATTATCTTGTGATGTTTTATATTTTTCTTCAGTGGGGTTTCCAGTTTCCACAGCTCTGACGTCCCAGAGATTTATAGACTAGAATAACAACTCTAAGCGACAAATATATAAAAACGCACCGACAAGGGAAGATCGAACTCTACTACATGTATGCCTCGTGCCTTCCCTGGGCGATGCTTTTCGGTGAAGGTCTCAAGGAATATAGTAACTGCACGTTTGCTGAAATCCTTTCATTCAAGTAAAGACCGGCCGACCAGCGGACGGAAGCTTGAATTATTATCTATTTCCTACTCTCTCTCTCTCTCTAATTTACATCTGTTACCAGGAGAACAAGGAGCTGTAAAAGAGTTACAGGTTTTGTACTGGAAAAAGAAGTAAAAGTGAAAGAACGAAACATACACGATAGTCCACTATGTTTCGTTTAGAGGATGTTAATTTGATGATTCTATAAAGGCCTGGCCTGAAAATGAAACGTCGAAAGACACTTTTCACAAAAGCTAATTAAAGAGGAGAGAATAACAAAAGAAAAGAAGCTAGAAAATGATACAAATTAAAAGGAAAAGAATAACGAGTGTAAATAAAAGTTAATTTTTTGCAATAGCTAGCTAGCTGGTTGAGTTGGTGGGCTAGATATTCTGAATTTATTCGGTTCGCCAGACGTTCCGTCACCGTCGTCGTTCTGGGGTCCAATGTGGGCAGGCTGGGCTAAAATGCACTGAGACCACTCTGGAGTCAAGTAGCTCCATGATAGGTGTAAAGTTAACACACCTTGGCACCTTGTATTGGTTGATTGAAGCACCCCTTGAGATTGCGTAGTCCATTAGCGCTTCAAATGTACCGCTTTTAACTACCCTTATTTCCAATGGACCGATCGAGTTGTCCGCCACCCGACCTTGTCTGTAGACCGAGTTCAGTGACTCTTCCATGGCGAGACAACACTTGTTCAGCACCTCATCAGTCGGCCCATTCCCTGGGTCCTTCACCAGTAACTCCCAATAGATCACGTAATGCCCTGGGATAGTCTTGGTGTCGGCATAGCTTGTGTACTCGACCACGCTACTGTTGAACTCGCGCAAGAGCTTTGACGCGTTTTCGACCGCACTCTGCAACTCTGCTTCGTCAGTCTTGTCTGAGTCGATGCTCAGCAGCACGTTCTTTCTCCTCACAAAGTGAAACTGCGGGGCCGAGTTGTGGAACCCGGTCACTCGAAGTATGTCCCCGACTCGGTAGCGGTACAGGCCGGCGTATGTGGTTATTACCAGTTCGTACTCTTTCCCTACCTCTACATCGACAAGGTCGACGAGGCGGGGAGGAGGGGAGTCTCGAGACAACAGGGAAGCCGATGTTGGATCGTGAGGTAGGAATTCGAAGTAGCCCATGTTGGGCATGATGGTGTAGGCTACCTCGGACGGCTTGCACATGGGTTTCAGGTTCAGGCCGAAGTAGCACTCGGAGGACGCGTACATGGTGCATGCCAGCGGCAAGCCACCGCTGTAGTAATCAAGGGTGGGAATGTATTGCGCCATGGCACCCGTGACGATCACATCAAGGTACTTGGTTTTAGGCCAAATTCTGTTGATAATTCCTTCCCACTTCTCTCCAGAGCACTCACTGGTAATGAATTCAGCCAATTTGGGGTTGGGTTTAAGGCGAGACACCATACATTCCCGGATTGAAGGATCAGTTATCTTGGAATTCAAGGTCCCAGTAGCGATGTCATGGACGAGTTCTCGCCAATTGAGTTGAAGGAAGCGGATGGCTCTGAGTAGGCCGGAGGCGAAAACGGCACCTACTCGGAGGACCTCTTCGCGCTGGTAGAGGCCACAGAGCATCTGGGTGTACATGCTTTGGAAGGAGTCAGGGCATAGAATGGCTTCGTTGGGGCTGGTGTAGACATTGTAAGGGTCGTAGGGCCTGGTCTTGAAGTGGTCACTCTTGTAGTAGCTGGTGAGAACTGGGCGGGCCAACAGTCCACCTGGCGTCTTTGTCTCTGATTTGACGAAGTAGAAGTAAAGAGCCTTCCCCTTGTCTAGTCCCGGTACATAACTGTCCGAAAGCAAGACGAAAAGAATGAAGAGACGTTAAACGTTATTTTCCTTCAACCAACCCCATAAAATACACTCGGAGTCTCTCAGACCCAGTTCAGGGGTAAATCATAAAATGCACATCTTTTCTTTCCTTAGCTTGCTAGCTATAGCCAGAAGCTAAAATTAAACAGAACAACAGTGACATGAATGCTTACAGGTTCATTACAGGTGTAAGAAGACTGTAGAGCAGCTGACGACGGTCCAACTCTGCTTGAATGGTGGGCATGAGCTTTCTTTCACCCGCAGAAGTTCCAGAACTGTGAGACCGCAAAAGAAAGTTATCAGCATTAAAGGTTTTGGGCAGTCAAGGTCGTTTATAATAGTTTCGGATAAATATATGAAAGGAAATTAATTACCTGGTGAGGAACTCAGAGATGGGATGTGCTGATAAGATGGCGGAGCGATCGCCATTAGCAATACGTTGGATTTCAGGCTGAAGATCCTCGTAAGTGATCACGGGGATCTTCGATTTGAAGGTGTCACGATCGGTCGACCCACCCAGCTGGTAACGCCGGAGGTACTCGGTTTCGGCATTTTGAGTAAGAATCTCAGCCAACACCTTCTGTTGAACCGAGTCGGCATTTTTTGTCATGTCTTCGATGAACTGAAGCGCCGTGGCGTGTTTTTCGCTGGAGGACGAGATTGAAGAATCCACAGCCATCGTTGAAGAGAAAAGAGTAGCTGAGCAAAAGAGCGAGAGAGAGAGAGAGGAGAGATTGACGCTTTGGTTAATTGGCTTAGGTTGGGGATGTGGACTGCAAGCTAACAAAGGAGTATTTATAGCCTTATAGGCGAGTCCGGTTGAGTGACACGCAATAGATAGCGTCAGGGCGGGCCCACCGGGTAAGAAAGCTCGGGCGGGAGGGGGAGCCAAGCAGGTTTCAGGTCGTCGACAGGAAAATATATTTGACGCCGGACGCGTAGGGAGAAGAGGGAACAGAGATGGGTCCACACCACGTCATGTTGCCGCCCATAGACCGTACATTGGACCATGTATGGCCAAATCAGCAAATTCCAAGCTGGCAGTTCGTCCGGGTGTACGCGTCAGCGGAGCCACGCGGCTCTCTTGTGGCGAGGCTGTTTGCCCTTGACAACGATAGCCAGCCGACCTAGTCGGCAGTTTCCACTGTTGCTGACGTTGCAAAATGGGACCGATGCCTACTAAACCAGTAAACCAGGACTCACAGTCTCATGGAAAGGCACAGGAGGTGAGACCACTGACCAGAGTCTAACGGCCTGAACCAAACTTCTCTCACTTCTAGACGAGTTGAATTGAAAGTTAGGAAGGTTGGCAATTTATCACAATCTTCAATAGTTATAAAACTATAATTAACACACACAATACAGCAGTGATAAGACATGATCCAATCACGTTCCATCTTCAATATTTTTTCTTTATTTTCACATACTTTTTCTCTGAGAAAATAAATAAAGAAATAAAAAAGCGAGGCTTCTTTGTTTCTGTACTTGCTCTCTAATTCCCGTCCTTATCTTTGTTTCTGTTTTGGGCCTATCTACTGATAAATTGTCTCACAGGAACAGCGAATGATCCACTGGACATATTATTAGGCGTAGGTACAGAGAAGACAGACACAAAACATCCGTCCTTTACTTACAGAACATAGACATACGTAATATACGTTGCATGTGCAGTGGATCAAGAACCCACCATCTTAGGAGATATCCAACACCTTGGATCATTTAACTGAGACCCGCTAAATAATGGGTCCCCCCCCCGGAAAAGAAAAATGAAATTACTGTAAATCGTTCAGACAAATTCTTTGCTTCTAAACGGGGTTACACAAATCACAACAGCTCATGACTCTTTCATACAATTACACGAATCTAATCAAGCCAGATCTTTCAATTTGACTTTTGATTTGTTCATTCCGTTTATTTACAGGCCAATTGCCTAAGTTCAAGGTCTTCATTCATTATTGTAGCTTATGTTCTTCGCTTAGCTTTCAAACCGAGTAAGGAGTAACCCTTTGAAATCATGTTGATATTTTTTTTTTACATTAAGACAAATAATGTAGGAGACATCACCTCTTAATTACAACTATTAGTGCTTAGTTCTTAAATGAGACGTGACAACATGCATATGCCTGACACTGTACACATGCATGTGTTGCTTCTTTGTTAAAGATATCCTAATCAGGCTTTTCCAGCGATTATAGAAAATGATAGACGTTAATCATCTTAAATTGCTTACCAACTTAACGTGTCAAGGGCAACTCAAAGATATAGAGCCCACAAAAATCTAAGGATGTGTTTGGGAATGCTTCCTCAATGGGTTTCTTGTATTTTAAAAGTCTGATATGTAAATGTTTAAAAATCTCTAAGTTTTCTAAATTAGTAAAATATATGTAGGTATAATATTGATATTTAAAATATCTCTAAGTTTTCTCTAAAGTTTTAAAATCCTAGGATCCCATAATTTTATTTTTGAATTATCACTAAAGTATTATAATTCAATTCTAAAATATCCCCAAATTTCTATATCCTATGTATAAATTGTACATAAAATAAATATTTTTTTAAGTAATTGCTTTGGAGCGGGAAAAATTTGAGAATTCCCCGTCCCCAATGGGGAATGAATGCTCCGCCCTGAACCCGCCCCGCCACTGGGGACAGAGCGGGTACGGGGCAAGGTATCGTGACTTCAGGGCGAGGACGGGGAGGGGGTGCCCCGCCCCACTGCCATTCCTAAGCTTTTGCATTTGTGGAAAGCTATATTGAAAAAAGGGGGGAGGGATAAAAAGCAATCTTCCAAACACTTAAGAAAATGCCCTTTAATGTTTGGTTAACAATTTTTCCAAATTCCATGTAGGTGTTAAGCATTAATGTCTTCTTCAAAAAATGGCACTACATCATTGTCACATCTGGAATCAGTTTTTTGGAAAACATTTGCTATATGTTTGGTATAACTTACATTTATTTAAAAAGTGTTTGTATTTGGTTTGTCTTCAAAATCGAGGAAAAGTCATTGGTAAACGTTTTCCTACTGTTTATTGGCAGCTAGGTGACATTAGGCACCATATAAGCGGAATAGTAAATAAACACCTTGGTGTTTAATGTTAAAATGAGCATTCTCCCAACAGTTGGTTTGCACATAAACTAAGATAAATGTTTATTAGATAAACAGGCTTACCAAATAACATTTTGATACAAATGCCCATATGGCAATGAAATGGCATCATTTATCAAAGAAATGAAAGTCATACCAAACACTACTAATTGGTTAACCATTTTTCTAAAAAAAAAAAAAAACATTTTCTCATACCACAACTTGAAAATTGAGAGAGGTGAGATCTAAGAAAATGCTCTTTTGGGTGTTTTCCCATTTTTTCTACTATTGATAATAATAACACACTGGCATGGCATTGAAAAACACCTATATAAAAACGCCTCTCAAAAAATAACATTGATTCCAAACACCGCCCATATTACCCATTCTTTCTCGCTTCTGGCTAAAAAATTGTTGGTAGTAGTACTTATTTCATGCCGCTCCACAAATTAAGTTAATTTCAGTTGAAAGCAGCAGTAGTAATGAAAATTCAAAATGACATAATGCTTGGTTAGGTAAATTGACAGCCCTTTTTGTGGTCCAAGGTGGCTGCTTCCTCATACTTTGAAGGTTGAACTTTAACCAGTTACATCATTTTCTTTTTTTTAACTTTGGTTCATGAATTAATCCTCATTATGAGGTCATGTGTTGATAGACCAGCTATTGGTATTATTTAATTTATCCTGATAAGTTGGGCCGACAGCACTATACTTCTAAAACTAGGGTATAAGACTACGCTTCCACATGGCTATGCCAATGAAGCATGGCCTCAGCTAGTAGAGTAAATAATTCTTCAACAAGTTTGGAAACAACCGATCTGTATATCCGGGTATACTATTACTATTACGTAAGCAGTAATCACTTTGAGGTAGGTTGCTTAATCTGTTTTTGGTAGTTATGATGATGATGAAATTGTGACAATCGATTATACCAATCAGACGGCAGCTAGGCTTCTAGATGCATAAGGTGTATGTATCTCTGTGTGTATAAAATATAAAAAATGCATTGAAGGAGCTGAGGCAAAGGGTAAATGAACGAATATAACAAATTAAATGGAAATGGTGATGGCGTGTACCAAACTCCATTCCATGACTTGCTGGTAAGTATGAGGACAATTAATGTTCGGTACCAAGATTTGGAGGTATTCTAACTCTAAAGATTCTATGCAGCCTGAGTAATTCAAAAGTCTTGAAAAAGGAAAGCAAGAAGTGGAATCAAGCTCTTTTTTTTTTATTTCTACTGGTCGTCATGGTTAGGTAACTTTCAACAAACTGATTTTTTTCAGATCTTGACTTGTCAACAACTATAAGAAGGGACTCTGCCCTTATGGGGTGCTCCTTTTGTCTTATATATGGAGTTAGTTACATGAATCCTGTTTCGCGTAAGTGTCATTTACATCGTCACATTATGGGTATTTAAATCATTTCTCACTATTTTCACCCAAATCTTTTTTCATCTGTCCCTAATTATCTTAAACCTTTAGACTTGTAACAGATCACTTTTTTTAATAGATGTTTGACTTGGCTCTTAAATTTGAATTACTTAAATGCAAAACCACCATTAATACTCTCTGCATCATTAACTTAGCTCATACAATTATTATAATAATAGTATAAATAACAAAAATGAATGATGAAGACTTTGATACTAAAATCAAACATAGCCCATGCTCATATATGCGTGTGCTGATGTAGGACAGGCTATGTTAGTCATACAAACAAGCCATGCGTGAAGACATGGAGACAGTAGACCGTAGTGTTGTCTCATACTTGTGGAGCTCAATCAAGATGATTTGGGCCCAACATACTTACAATGGGCGTTACTGAGGTCTGAGGGGTGACATACATATATATAATAAAGAACCCTAACAATCTATCTATCTATCTAAGAAACAAATCTTTACAAGCCGCCCAGCCTTTCCATTTTGTCAACCTAATAGATTCCACATACCAGTTGGTTTAATTTATTCTCTGTTGTTTCGTAACTCATGCTTCATGTACATTGTACCGAAACCAGAATAATTGAAAACGGACTCAAATTAAAAGGGAAGCAACTGATATCAGCCCACATATGAAAACGATCCCTGGACAACCATCAGCTCTGTATTTGCATCAGTCCAAAGAAAAGCGAAAATAAAGGTCTGATGGGCCCAAAATAGCAATTGCCTGTGCCTGTCACAAGAACAGCAAACATATTCCTATTTTTACAGCTTCTATATCATAACTGTCATTAAAAGAATTTATACGACTGAAATGGGCTTCAAGAAAACCCACTTTCATGCCCGACTGTTAAATGGTAATGCCTGCAGGAATCAAATCCGGGTATCCATTCCAAATTAACTGGTTTAACTCTTTATGAATGGTCTGTCTGCCCACTGACAAAACAAACAGAAGTGAGTTGGCAGTGCTCTTGTATGAAACCCAATTAACAGGGAAAGGGTGCATTGGGCTCACTGGGCCCGTAACAATTAGAACCTTAGGGGCCGACCCAGATTTAGAACGGATTTAGATTGTCCAGGTCCAGCCCAGACAGGAAAGATAAACATATATAAAAGATGGGGGCTCATATGGGTTGGCAGGTCGGGTCGGCAAAAGACCACTACAAACCCTACCATCTGTTATACATGCACTGACCATACCACCTACTAACCATGCACCAGTCCGCGTGGGCTATCTTCTGCCAGAGGCAGAGAGCC